GCCAAAAACCACTAACACAGCAATGCACACCATAAAACACCACCAAAACCCTAACACGACTGCAAAAACCACTAACACAGAAAGCACAAACCCCTAAACACAGCACGCACACCACTAAAACCCACCAAATGGGACACCACAACACGCACTGCACACCCCTTTAAAACCCGCAAATGCACACCACTAAAACCCCTGACACTCCCTAACACGCATGCAAAACCCCTAACCACCACTGACAACCCCTAACACACCAAATGCACACCCCCTAAACCCCGACTGCACACCAAATAACAAAACTGCAAAACCACTAACACAGCCCCCTGCCACCACTAAACCCGCAATTTCCCCACCACAAAAACAAACTGCACCCCCACAACAAACCCCTTTTCAAAAACCCCCTTTAAAACAGCACTGCCAACCCCTAAAAAAGCACTCACAACCCCTAAAAACAACCCCTTCCACCCTAACACGACTGCCCCACCACCCAAAACAGAATGCACACCCCTAACCAGCACTGCAACCACTAAACCCCCACCCCTGCAAAACCACAAAAAACAGCACTGCACACCACTAACAAAAAGCACTGCACACCACTAACACAGCACGCACACCATCCAACCACCACTGCACACCCCCTAACACAACCCTGCAAACCACTAAACACCGCAATGCACACCACAACACACCAAATGCACACCACTAAAACAGCACGCAAAAACCCCCTAACACACAACGCAAAACCACTAAAAAACCTTCACAAACCCCTAACACACCCCTGGGACACCACTTTAAAACACCCCTGCACACCACTAACACAGCCCCGCACAAACCCCAAAAACAGCCCTGCACACCACTAAAACCCGCATTGCCCACCACTAACACAGCACTTTACACCACAACACACCACTGCCCCCACTTAAAAATCACACCCCTGCCAACACACAAAACCCCAAAACCCACTGCCCCCCAAACAAAAACCGCACACCACTAAAAAAACCCCAGCACTGCACAAAACCCCTAACAAGCACTGCAAAACCACTTAAAACACCCCGCACACCCTAACAAACCAGACACCCCAAACACAGACTGCAAAAACCCCTAACAAACCCCGGAAAACCACTAACACAAACACTGCAAAACCATAAAAAAACACCCCTGGCCAAAACACTAACACACCCCCTTTTCACACCCCTAACACAAACCGCACACCCCAACACACCCTCTGCAACACCCTAACAACCACCGGCCCCACCCCTAACCCAGCACTGCAAAAACCACAAAAACAGCAAATGCACACCACTAACACACCCCTTCACCCCACAAAAAACAAAAAACTGAAAAACCCCCTAACACAGCACTTCCCCACCACTAAAAACTCAAAAAAAAACCCCCCTCCCCAAAACCCCCTAACACACACGCACCCCACTAACACCCACTGCCAACACCCCTAACCAAACAACTGCAAACCACTAACACAGCACTGCACCCACTAACTAACACAGCCCCCAATGCCCTGCCAAAACCCCTAAACCCACGCCCCCACAAAAAACAACACTGCCAACCATAACAAAAAGCACTGCACCCACTAACACAGCCCCTGCACACCCCTAAACACCCCCTGCCCACCACTAACCCCACCAAATGCCACCAAATAACCAGCACTGGGCCCAAAAACCACTAACACAGCAAATGCACAAACCCCTAACACACCCCCTGCACACCAAAAAAAGGGGGCCCCCCCCCCGGGGGGGGGGGGGGAAAAACCCCCAAAAAAAAAAATAAAAAAAAAAATTTAAAAAAAAAAAATTTAAAAAAAAACCCAATTTTAAAAAACTGACCAAAAACCCCCAACCCCGCCCCCAAAAAAAAAAAAAAAATTTCCCCCCCAAAAAACCCCCCCCCACCCCCCAAAAACCCCCCCAAAACCAAGGGGCCCCCAAAAAAATTAAAAACCCAAAAACCCCCCCCCCAAAAAAACCCCCCCCCAATAAAAATTTCCCCCCCCCGGGCCCCCCCCCCGGGGGGGGGCACCCAAAAAAAAACCCCCAGGAAATTTTAAAATTTAAAAAGTTTAAAATTTTTTAAAAAAAAAAAACCCCAAAAAAAAAAAAAAAAAAAAAAAAAACCCCCCTAAAAACCCCCAAAAAATTTTTAAAAAACCCTTTTTTAAAATTTAAAACCCAAAAAAAACCCCCCCCAACCGGCCCCCCCCGGGAAAAAAAAATTTTTTTTTCCCCCCCCCCCCAAAAAAAAAAAAAACCCCCCCCCCCAAAAAAAACCCCAAAAACCCCCCCAAAAAACCCCCCCCCCCCCCCAAAAAAACAAACCCCGGGAACCCCCCCATTTACAAAAAAAAAAAAAAAAAAATTAAAACATTTTAAAATTTTAAAAATTTTTTCCCCAAAACCCCCCAACCCTTTTCCCAACCCCAAAACCCCCAAAGGGGGGCCCAAAACCCCCCCAAACCCCCCCAAAAAAAAACCCCCCCGCCCCTTTTTAAAAGGAATGGCCCCCCCCCTTTTTTCCCCCCAAAAAAACTTTAAATTAAAAATTTTCCCCCCCCCAGGGGGTTTTTTTAAAAAAACCCCCAAAAGCCTTTCCCCAAAAATTTTTTAAAAAAAAACCCCCCCCTTTTTTTTTTCCCCCTTTTTTTTTAAAAAAAAAAAAAAAATTTTTTTTTTTTTAAAAAAATTTTTTTTAATTTAAATTTTTTTTTAAAACTTTTCCTTTTTTCCCCTTTAAAAAAGGGTTTTTTTTTTGGGGTTTTTTTAAAAAATTTTTTTTCCCCCCAAAGGGGTTTTTTTTTTTTTTTTCCCCCCCCCCAAAAAATTTTTTTTTAAAAAAAATTTTTTTTTTTTTTTTTAAAAATTTAAAAAAAAAGGGCCCCCCCCCCCTTTTTTTCCGGGGGAAATTTTTTTTTTTCCCCCCAAAAAGGGAAATTTTTAAAAATTTTTTTTTTTAAAAAATTTTTAAAAATTTTTTTAAAAAAAAAAGTTAAAAATTCCCCTTTTGGGGGTTTTTTTTAAAAAAAAATTTTAAAAAAGGGTTTTTTTTTGGAAAAAAAAGGGGGGGGAAAAAAAAAACCCAAAAAAAAAAGGGGGTTTTTAAAAAAAAATTTTTCCCCAAAACCCAAAAAAAATTTTTTTTTTTTTTTAAATTTTTTTTAAATTTTAATTTTTTTTGGGGGTTTTAAATTTTTTTTTAAAAAGGGGGGGAAAAGGGGGAAAAAAACAAAGGGGTTCCCCCCTTTTTTTTCCCCCCTTTTTTAAAAAAAAAAAAAAACCCCCCCCCAAAAAGGGGGGAAAAACCCCCCCCAAAAGGGGGGGGGGTTTTTTTCCCCAAACCAAATTTTGGGGGGGGGGAATGGTTCCCCTTTGGGGGGGAAACCCCCCCCCTTTTTCCCGGGGGGGGGCCCTTTCCCCCCTTTGGGGGGGAAATTTTTTAAAAAAAAAGGGGGGTTTTTCCTTTAAATTTTTTAAGGGGGAAATTTTTGGGGGGGGGGTTTTTTTTTTTTCCCTTTTTAATTTTTTTAAAAAAAATTTTTGGGGGTTTTTTAAAAAAGGGGGTTTTCCAAAAAGGGGGGGAAATTTCCCGGGGTTTCCCTTTTTAACAGTTTTTTAAAAATTTTCCAGGTTGGGGGGGCCAAAAAAAAATTTTTTTTTTTAAAAAAAAAATTTTTTTTTTTTTTTTTTTTTTTTTTTTTTTTTTTTTTTTAATTTTTTTTTTTAAAAAAATTTTTTTGGAAAAAAAAGGGGTTTTTTTTTTTTTCCTTTTTAAAAACCCCCCCGGGGGGGGTTTTTTAAAAAGGGGTTTTTTTCCCCCGGAAAAGGGGGCCCCCCGGGGAAATTTTTTTTTTTAAAGGTTTTTTAAAAAATTTTTGGGAAAAAGGGTTTTTTAAAAAACCCAAAAATTTTTTTGGGTTAAAAACCCCCTTAAAAGGGGTTTTTTTTGGGGGGCCCCCCGGGGCCAGGGTAAGGGCCCCGGGGGGGTTTTTTTTTTAAAATTTTTTTAAAAAAATTTTTTTTTTTTTTTTCCCCCCGGGGGGGGTTTTTGGGGGGGGGGGGTTTTTTTTTTGGAATTTTTTTTTTTTTTTTAAAAAAAAAAAAAAAAAAAAAATTTTTTTTGGGTTTAAATTTTTAAAAAAAAAAAAAGTTTTTTTTAAAAATTTTTTTGGGGGGGGGGGCCCCGGGGGGCCCCCCCCTTTTTTTGGGGGGGAAAAAAAATTTTTAAACCTTTTTTTGCCCGGGGGGGGGAAAAGGGGAAAAAAGGGGGGGGTTTTTAAATTTTTTAAATTAATTTTAAAAAAGGGCCCCGGGGGGTTTTTTTAAAAAAAGGTTTTAAATTTGGGGGCCCAAAATGGGGCCCCCCTTTTTTTTTTTTCCCCTTTTTTGGGGGGGAAAAAAAAAGGGGGAAAAAAACCCCCCCCCGGGGCCAAAAATTTTTGGGAAATTTTTTTAAAAATTTTTCCCCCTTTGGGAAGGGGGGCCCAATTTTTTCCCTTTTTTTTAAAAAACCCAAATTTCCGGGGGGGTTAAAAAAGGGGGGGGAAAAAAGGGTTTTTTTAAAAAGGGGGAAAAAGGGTTTTTTGGGAAAAAACAGGGGTTTTTGGGGGGGGGGTTTAATTTTCCCCCAAAAAAAAAAATTTTTTTGGGGAACCTTACAACCACGTATATGATAACAGAGCTATTTTCATTAAGAAGTTACAACGTACACTTGTTCAAACCATCAAACATAAAACCTTACAACAATTATACGCCCTCTTGTTGGCCAGATATAAATTGTTTCATAATGACAATTTCACCGGAAAGAGAAGAACAAGACATTCATGTTCTGCTAATCTCTCTACAACTTGCTGTTTATCTGAGCTGCACATGAGACCAGTCACTCTCACATCTCTTATTCCTTGTCAAAGAGGACTAGCATCCTTCTTCACAAGTCGTATTCACAACTTTTGCAATGCATTATGACACTAATGAGCCATGTAAGCATCTGATACTCACCCACAACAGTCATAGTGGCAACATCAGACTCAGTGTGGAAGTCTGGTGCCTCAGCTGACACCTCGCAACGGAAGACACCTGACGCCCCGAGAGTTACGTCCTGGATTCTAACTCTTCCTCTGTTTGAGGTCTTTGTGTCCACGGTCAGGGGTTCACCCTTCACTGGGAAGGTCTTTATGGGTGGGCTCTCTGCTGGTGTCCAGCGGTAGATCTCGTCCAAGCCCAAGTACCACTTCAGGGCGTAGATGCTGTCACCCTCGTCCACAAACTCACACTCAAGCCATCCGCCATCACCCACCGCTACCGGTGTCGGCACCGTTACCTTTGTGATGTGCAAACCAGTAACAACAACTGCAAGTAGAAAAAAACATTAATGTTTATATGGAGGTTTTACCGTTACCTACAAATTAGGAATTTTATGCTAGACGGGCTATTTAGAAAAAAAAATTGTACGAATTCGTCTAAAACAGGAAAAATTAGTTATCGTCTGAAGTAATGTTTTACCACGAAAATTACGCATGATTTTTGGAACTGCGCATCTTTCAGCTATATTGACTTAAAGATGTTATATAAATTCCAATGCTTTCTAATTTATCTGGTTTCCTTATAGTCACCGAACTTAAGGGTATCTAAATTACATAGAGGTTTCTTCTGTGTAGTGTGTCCAGCACTTATTGGTGTACCCTACCACCTCGGTCTGCTGAAGCCTTTCTGTCATCACTGAGGTTCACTGAGAATACTTCCAGGTCGTTTCTTCTGAGCTCCCCTCCTCCTTTCCTCATCCTGATTACATAGTCATTGGTTGTTACTTTTCTCTTGATGTGGCTGTATAATAGTCTTAAATCAGATTTGGCGTTCAATGCTATGTCATTTTCATAATGCCTCTGGGCCTCCCTCTTTACCCTTGCATATTCATTTCTGGTTCTCCTGCATAGCTCCTCATTTTCATCGGCACTTTGTTTCTAAACATTATTTACATGTTCTGGCGGACTTCACTTCGACCTTTCTGCACTTGGGGCCACTCTGGTCTTCCCATTTTTTTTGCTCTTGAGTACGAATTACCTCTCTGCCTCTTTACACTTTGTAGTCACTTGTTCCATTATTTCATGTATGGTCGTTTCCTCCAGTTCTCTCCCATATTACACCTCATGCAGGAAGTGCCACATGTCAGTGTAGTTCCTTATTTTGACGTTTGGATTCTCATGTTCATTAGGGTCTGCTTTAATCTCCTCTGTTAAAATTTTATATTCGAGACTAAGCTCCATATGATCACTAGCGAGGAGGGACCTTTTATATATATCCCCAATGTCGGAACTACTCAAGGTTAATACAAGGTCCAGCCTTGCTGGATAGTCCTCTCCTTTCTCTCTAGTTGCGTCCCTAACATGCTAGTACATAAGGTTTTCTAGCACTTTAGTTCTCTAGTTCTCCAGTATCTTAGCCTTCCTCTGGTCCCCCATGTGGCTCCAGGTTTTCCCAGTCGATCTGGTGGTTGAAATTCCCCATGTATAGTAACTTTGCCTGCCCATGTGGGCCCGTCTGGCTACCTCAGCTAGTGTCCACTATTGCTATGTTGCTGTCATTGCACTGTTGTCTTGGCGTCCTCCTATTCTGTTTCTGGTTGTACATCACTACAATCACCACCTTGGGTCTCCTATTCTGAAGAGTTCTTACTATGTAGCCCCTTGCTTACCATATGTGCATTCCTCTTAAGTCCCCAGAATTCCCCTTTTTTGATGCTCCCTATATCTTTCCTGAGGATCTGATATCTGGTTGCAGAGACTGCATCAGTTATCATCCCCATGAGCTTTGTTTCTATGAGTGCTATGTCTGGGGATACCCCATTATCAATGTAACACAAGGACATAAAGCGAAGAATTATATCCATTAAATGACTGTACTTCAATTCCTTCAGTTGATGAACTTCCTGTTCAACAACTCAGAGGCTGATTGATTACCTCATCTCTTGGATATAATTCTTCAATTATGTCCTTGTATCATATTGATAAAGCCACTTCTACAAATAATGATACCCAGTAGGTACTGTATGCCATTTATGTACAGCTTGTTATGGGTCATTGTGTTTGGTTGCAGTGGGGTTGTAGAGTTTGAGATGTCACGTGAGTGGTTCTGTTGATGGGTGTGTTCATTGGTCCTCCAAGGTCTGGGTTTCCGTGTCTTTAACCTTTTCTCTCTTTTCAGCCCCTTGTGTTTTGTACCCTTTCTATCAGGTTCTGTCATTGCTTTTGTGTTCTGTACACTTGCTGGTATTTTGTATTAATGCTGGTAGAATTATCGACAATATGTTACATAAAATTACACAAGTTCAACTAATGTGACATTTTATTGTGGAAACGTTTAGCTCTGACAACGGTTCACTTGGATGGCTTGATAAAGCCATTATCAAGCCGTTAATGGCTTGATAAATCTCCTGGAGAGCGAAATGTTACCACATTAAAATGTCACATTAGTTGCACTTGTGTCCTTTTACCTAACATGCTGGTATTTTGAGTTTTTTAGCTGTGGTTTCTACAGCAAGAACTTTTTTTTTTTAACCATTTCTGATTTAAAAATTAGTTTGGCTGGGTATTTTTTCTCCTTTGCATATCTCCCTATTCTCTGAAAACCTGTCACCTCAGTTATAATCTCCTATCCTGTCAGTTTGATGATATTTTCAATCTCTTTTATCTCACACTGTTGTCTTCATATATCTTCCTTTTGGCCTTTTCAACCCCATTAATAAATATTTACCTCTACCTCTCCTCTTCCTATTTTATTTCCCTTTATTTCTATGGGAATCGAATTTACCATCTCTTATGCAGCTTCCCATATCAGTTGCTGGATCCTCCAGTTATAAGATGTTCTCTCTGCTGGAGAATATATTCTGTAGATCATTCTTCCTGTTAGAGTGGATGATGAGTAAAGAAAAGTAAAGTCAGTTTAATCTTAATGAAATTATTCACTATATATTTTTATGGCTAGGAGCAAAAACCTATGATGAAGCATTCCTGCTGGGACAACATGGTATCAAAACCTATGATGAAGCATTCCTGCTGGGACAACATGGTATCAAAACCTATGATGAAGCATTCCTGCTGGGACAACATGGTATCAAAACCTATGATGAAGCATTCCTGCTGGGACAACATGGTATCAAAACCTATGATGAAGCATTCCTGCTGGGACAACATGGTATCAAAACCTATGATGAAGCATTCCTGCTGGGACAACATGGTATCAAAACCTATGATGAAGCATTCCTGCTGGGACAACATGGTATCAAAACCTATGATGAAGCATTCCTGCTGGGACAACATGGTATCAAAACCTATGATGAAGCATTCCTGCTGGGACAACATGGTATCAAAACCTATGATGAAGCATTCCTGCTGGGACAACATGGTATCAAAACCTCCACAATAGTGAGTTTTCTATAAACTTTGAGTTTATTTCAAGTTCTTCCTTCTTTTAAAAAATGAATGTAAAGAATCTTCATTGGTCCCTTTCTTCTTCCAGGGTAAACTGCGTGACGGATTCCACTATTTTTTGCATTCCTTAATTGTTGATGATGATAGCGTCTAAGGAAAATAATCAAATAAAATTACATTACCTCAGATATGTGACTTGTGTGCGATGATTTTCTTAAAGTTGTCTTGTGTAGGTGTTACAGGTAAAGGAAATCTCTTGACTTTAAAGGCTCAAGAGCATCACTACTTTTGCAAGGGAGAGAACATGATTTGTATTGATGAAACAAAACATTTGCTTCACACTAGCCTACAGCAACACAAATATTCACACAGGATAGGCAGTATCAACAACCTGAGCATCGTTCAACATAATCTGCACTTCTTCATCATGAATGGAGCAACTCTGCGCCTGTATTAGGGAAGCAAAGAACAAAATGCAAGATTCTGGAGACAACTACAATTCATTATCTATTACAGTCCAACAAACCAAGGAAATTCATGTAATTAGCAGGATCAACCACTCATATTGTATATGAATCTTACAAAAAATATGTTACCCATAAGCTTGTCCCACTGTTTCACCTCGGCACCTGATATTGCAGTTGTCTGCCTCTCCCTCCTTCCCTAACCTCACAGCATATTTCATCCCCTGATCTAACTTAAGAACATAAGAATGGAGGAACACTGCAGAAGGCCTATTGGCCCATACAAGGCAGGTCCTAATCAAAACCACCCCTACCCAAAACTTCTCAAGAATTTGCTCCCATACCCACGACACCAATCAAACCCAGCTCCCACTCATATATCTGTCCAATCTCTTTTTAAAGCTACCCAAGGTCCTAGCCTCGATCACCCTACTCAGAAGATTGTTCCATGTATCCACAACTCTGGACACCCTCACTACTTAATTAATATCACATTTGTTTGTGCCCATCATCCACTTGCACACTTCGATGATTTCTCCAGACATTGGAGATTCAAGGCTCTAAGTCTATCTTCATACGGGAGATACCTTATACAGTAAATCATTTTAGTCATTCTTCTCTGTATGTTCTCCAAGGGACTGATTACCTCAAATTCCATCTCTCTTTACACCTTTCTGCTTTGTATTGGACTGATGAAGCCACTGTGTGGCGAAACGTTTCCTCGATAAAGATTCCCATATGTTGCATAAGTGTCTCAATCTTCAACAAATGTTTTATTTTTATTATTATTATTATTATATATATATATATATATATATATATATATATATATATATATATATATATATATATATATATTTTATCACACTGGCTGATTCCCACCAAGGCAGGGTGGCCCGAAAAAGAAAAACTTTCACCATCATTCACTCCATCACTGTCTTGCCAGAAGGGTGCTTTACACTACAGTTTTTAAACTGCAACATTAACACCCCTCCTTCAGAGTGCAGGCACTGTACTTCCCATCTCCAGGACTCAAGTCCGGCCTGCCGGTTTCCCTGAACCCCTTCATAAATGTTAATTTGCTTACACTCCAACAGCACGTCAAGTATTAAAAACCATTCGTCTCCATTCACTCCTATCAAACACGCTCACGCATGCCTGCTGGAAGTCCAAGCCCCTCGCACACAAAACCTCCTTTACCCCCTCCCTCCAACCTTTCCTAGGCCGACCCCTACCCCGCCTTCCTTTCACTACAGACTGATACACTCTTGAAGTCATTCTGTTTCGCTCCATTCTCTCTACATGTCCGAACCACCTCAACAACCCTTCCTCAGCCCTCTGGACAACAGTTTTGGTAATCCCGCACCTCCTCCTAACTTCCAAACTACGAATTCTCTGCATTATATTCACACTACACATTGCCCTCAGACATGACATCTCCACTGCCTCCAGCCTTCTCCTCGCTGCAACATTCATCACCCATGCTTCACACCCATACAAGTGCGTTGGTAAAACTATACTCTCATACATTCCCCTCTTTGCCTCCAAGGACAAAGTTCTTTGTCTCCACAGACTCCTAAGTGCACCACTCACCCTTTTCCCCTCATCAATTCTATGATTCACCTCATCCTTCATAGACCCATCCGCTGACACGTCCACTCCCAAATATCTGAATACATTCACCTCCTCCATACTCTCTCCCTCCAATCTGATATCCAATCTTTCATCACCTAATATTTTTGTTATCCTCATAACCTTACTCTTTCCTGTATTCACTTTTAATTTTCTTATGCACACCCTACCAAATTCATCCACCAATCTCTGCAACTTCTCTTCAGAATCTCCCAAAAGCACAGTGTCATCAGCAAAGAGCAACTGTGACAACTCCCACTTCATGTGTGATTCTTTATCTTTTAACTCCACGCCTCTTGTCAAGACCCTCGCATTTACTTCTCTTACAACCCCATCTATAAATATATTAAACAACCACGGTGACATCACACATCCTTGTCTAAGGCCTACTTTTACTGGGAAATAATTTCCCTCTTTCCTATGTACTCTAACTTGAGCCTCACTATCCTCGTAAAAACTCTTCACTACTTTCAGTAACCTACCTCCTACACCATACATCTGCAACATCTGCCACATTGCCCCCCTATCCACCCTGTCATACGCCTTTTCCAAATCCATAGGTGCCACAAAGACCTCTTTAGCCTTATCTAAATACTGTTCACTTATATGTTTCACTGTAAACACCTTGTTCACACACCCCCTACCTTTCCTAAAGCCTCCTTGTTCATCTGCTATCCTATTCTCCGTCTTACTCTTAATTCTTTCAATAATAACTCTACCATACACTTCGCCAGGTATACTCAACAGACTTATCCCCCTATAATTTTTGCACTCTCTTTTATCCCCTTTGTCTTTATACAAAGGAACTATGCATGCTCTCTGCCAATCCCTAGGTACCGTACCCTCTTCCATACATTTATTAAATAATAGCACTAACCACTCCAAAACTATATCCCCACCTGCTTTTAACATTTCTATATTTATCCCATCAATCCCGGCTACCTTACCCCCTTTCATTTTACCTACTGCCTCACGAACTTCCCCAACACTCACAACTGGCTCTTCCTCACTCCTACAAGATGTTATTCCTCCTTGCCCTATACACGAAATCACAGCTTCCCTATCTTCATCAACATTTAACAATTCCTCAAAATATTCCCTCCATCTTCCCAATACCTCTAACTCTCCATTTAATAACTCTCCTCTCCTATTTTTAACTGACAAATCCATTTTCAACAAACAAATGTATTAACCAGAAATGTTTAGAAACTGGGTATAGATAGAGACAAAAACAATAAAGTTCAGAAGAGAGAATTCACTGAAACAAGAAAGAATCAACAGAAAAGTTAAGTCATCCATTTAAGTTATAATTAACATGTTAGTACTAGAAGGTATGATAAGAA